ATGATAATAATAACATAAATAAGGACTCACTATTAGTATTGCTTTTTGCTAAAAGAAAACCAGCAAACCATAAAGCTTATCATATTCCTTGGAGTCGAGAAATTATTCCCACTAGTCGGATAAGTCTTGCAAGTATATTGTGTACTCAGGGTTTATTTACCCCTGTTGCAGGTGATGCATGAGAAGTACCTTTGTGTGGAGGATTCTTCTGATGGGCTCAGACGGATCCTCGTTCTTATCACTAGATGTTTATTTTAAATTCCGCTGTTTATCATTCTACACTCTGATATTTGGTATTGTAATAATATACTTTTAAGAAACTCTGATGTATGAAATGGACAAGTATTGTAACTCATTCTCATTATTGGATCCTTGGGAAAATGTGGATCTTTCGGGTTCTCCCTTGGGTGTGCCCGACGGATACCGCCTGCTGTAGCTTGCTTTTAGGGTGCTTAGTGTCTAGTGGAAGACGAGCACCTCCGTAAGCGTGTTATTTCGGGTGGTTCTGCCACAACATTGAGTCATGTGACTAAGATGGAGAAGATCAAGACAAGACTTGGCTTGATGGACCGGTTACAAGCGTGAAGGGTAAGTTGGAGGCTTTGGAGTGATGGACCATTTAGCGGTGAAGCTTGAGCAAGACTTGGCGCCGATGGACGAAGGCAACGGTAAAAAGCAAGTGATGTCAAGATCGATGAACCAATACGGTCATGTGATGATATGAAGTGGATCATATCATTTGGTGATTGGTTGGTGCATGTGTTGCATCAATAATGGAGGAGGTGGAATGGAATGCACAAGGTAAAGGTATAACCTAGGGTATTTCATTTTATCGATCATAGGTTATGTAGAGAAGTGCTTGACTAGGTTTAGGATAGATGGTCGTACTATCAAGAGGGGCAAACTTTTTTGCATATCGGTCATCCAGTGCCACTCGAGTGATCTAACTTTGCATCGTTGCTAGGATCGAGTGGCTTGGCAAGTTAAGTGGTTAACACCTTGAAAATATTTGTGAAAAGCTAACACACATGCACAAGGTGTTGTACACTTGGTGGTGTTGGCACATTTGCAAAGAAGAAGAAGTTGGAGAAGAAAAAGAGTTGAATGCACTTGGCATGGGGTGACCGGATGCGTCCGGTATCTGACTCAGGCAGCAGTGTTCCCGACGTGACCGGACGCGTCCGATATCGATACTAGACGTGTCCGGTATTCTGGCCAGGCGCAAGTAGAGTTGCCATGGTGACCGGACTTTGGCTTGTAGCAGTGACCGAACGCCGAGCAATCACTGTTTAGCGTCAGGTCGTGGTGACGTGGGGCACGGGTGTTGATCCAGAGAGGACCGGACGTAGGGGCGCATCCGGATCATAGTTGAGCAGCCCTGGGAGCTCTCTGGACTCAATCGGACGCTGCCCCTCCTGCGTCCAATCACTTCGCTGCAGTGTGTCCGATGCGTCGTGTTAGAGTGTGTTAGAGAGGGCCGTTGGGCGACAACACCTACTTCGTTTGAATGGGACACGTGGTGGTCAAGTAGTGACCGGACGCGAGCAACCGGATGCGTTGGTGCACACGACTTGCGCGTCCGGTCGTCCCAAAATCTACCTAGTGAAGGGGTAACGGCTATTTTAGCCCGTGGGGCTATAAATAGAAGTGTTGGTCGGCCTTTGGCTGAGAGCTGAGCACCCTTGAGCCTTGATGACTTGTGTAGGTGTGCTTGGGCGCCCTCTAACTCACTTGGGCTTGATAGTGTTCATCCGATCGAGTGAGTGAGCGATTCTAGTGCGATTACATCATGAGATTGCATCAAATGGCACTAGGTGATCGAGTTGCAAGCCGGTGGTCCTTGTTACTCTTGGAGGTTGCCACCTCCTAGACAACTTGGTGGTGGTCTCTGTTGAAGCTCGTAAAGAAGATTGTGTGGTGCTCGGAGAAGTGATTGTGAGGGGATTGTGCTCACCCCGTGGGAGCCGTGAAGAGCAACTCTAGTAGAGTGAGACGTGAAGGGCGATAAGTGGTCCGGCCGGGTCAAGTGCTAGAGCTTGTGGTAAGCATTCCACGTGGGAGAGTGTGACTTACGGGTCACCACTAGCAAGAGGACCGACGGCAACCTTGGAGCTTGTCTCAACGGGGACTAGCGTGTTGACAAACACGTGAACCTCAGGATAAAAATCATCGTGTCATCCTTGTATTCCCGTTGGTTTGCATCCTTATTACACAAGCTTGTGTTTACTTCATTTACATTGTGCTTGTGTAGTTGCTCTTGTAATTAGTTAGCTTGTGTAGCTTGCTAGTTATCTTCTTGCTTGTGTAGCATAGAAGTAGCTCCCTTGCATGACTAATTCGGTTTGAGTAACCTTGTTAGTCACATTGCTTAGTTTGTGTAGCTAATAAATTTGTGCTCTATAATTTGGCTTGTGTAGTCTTGTTATTGAGCATTGCTAGTGAGTTTAGGTGGATTTATGCTTTTGCTTACTAGCATGTGTAGGAGCTCTCTCGTTGCTTGAAGTACTAGTGGTATAGGTTTGTCCAGTTTGTATGACCTTACTTTTAGAATTGGTTAGGTGAGCTTTAGCTAGCCCGGCACCTTTGTTGCCCAATTAGGATCTTTATAAGGTGCTTGTGAACTTCGATAGAGGGGTGTAGTCTTGGCTAGACCGATTGTTTTAATTTCGCATTTGTTTCGGTTAGCCGGCGCGATTAAATTTAGAAAGGACTATTCACCCCTCCTCTAGTCCGTCATCTCGACCCTACAGCTGCAACATGTGCGACACCAAATCTATTTTGCAACATCTAGAAAAATATTTGCAACATATGTCTGAAATAGTTGAAACATTTGCAACATACGTATGAAACATAATAAAAACACATGTGTAGCCACTACAAAACATATGCAACATATAGATAAAACACTTGCAACATATGTGTGAAAACATATATAGCATTCGAATGAAACACTTATACAACATAAGTGTGAAACATATGCAACACCTAGACACGTGCAACATCCATCTGAAATAGCTGAAACATTTGGAACAGACTCTTGCAACATACGTGTATAGTCATTGCAACATATACAACATCTCGATCTACTTTTGCAACATCTACATGAAACAATTATAACATGCATATGAAACACCTAAAACACTTGAAACATACGCTTGCAACACGTGCTTGCAACATCTAAGGAAGGAAGGGAGCGCGAGGTGCAGCCGGAGATGCCCACTCTAGGTCTGGCCACTCCTGATTTCGTGATGTTGTGAGTTGAGGTCGAGTGTCGCGGCGGCGCCGACGTCGATAGCGGCCCATGACCTCCTGGTAGGGAACGGCGGCGGTGGTAGCACCTCGAGAGGCGAGGGACGGAGACCGGGCACAGCGCGACGAGGCAGAGTGGGCGCGGTGGGGGATGGAGCACGGCGCAACGACAGACGTGGCGCGACTCGACACAGCATGGGGATGCCGCCGCGAGACGGTTTGGAGCGAGGCGAATGGTGCGGTGAGCCGCAATGAGCGAAGTGAGGAGTTGGGGATTTCTGTCGGCTATCGCAGTGTAGATGGAGTAGATAGAGGAGAAAGCGTAGATGAGCCTGTTAGGTTGGTCACTTTGCTGGAGCGAGCGTGGAGTAGAGCGTCCAATTTTTTTAAGATTCCGAATTAATGGTACGTAGCATTACCGATTAAAAATATACTGTTGATTACTTGTTAACAAACGGCTTCTGCTCACTCTTCTTCTAGGCCTCCAGGGCACATTGCCTTTTCTTTTCATTTTTATATACTTTTTTTCTTGCTTGCTGCATTGTGATGTCTGCGGCAGCAAAAAAACACAATACGCTGGATTCAGAAGGTCAGTTTAGATTCAGTTTAAAGTTGGATCTCCAACAGCAAAAAAAACTAAAGCAGCCACCGCCGCCGCCTTGCACCCCCGCTGGCCCCCCTTCCTTGTCCTCCGGCATCTTGCCAAAGGCCGGAGGAAGTGGTGTTATTATTTTCATAAGTTTTTCTAGTAGATCGAGTCTTTATGGTTATGTTCTCTCCATGCTAAATTTGTTGATATTGGGGATTTATCTCCACATCTTCCTCTCCGGCGACGGTGAAGAGGAAAGGTGTAATTGTTTTCTCCATTGCGACTCTGCTGGAGCTGAGGACGACAACTACGGCGTCATCAACTTCACCGGCTTGACGACATGGAGACCTTTCTTTCTGGACGGCGACATCAAGGTTGAGATGATATCATCGCCATGGAATAATTTTTTCTGGTCTTTTCTTCCGTTTTATCATGGTTAGATCTGGCCACGACGAAGGACTAGGAAGAATAATTTTCAGATCAGTCTTCCTCATTCTTCGATGGCGAAAAGAAGAAGAAGAAAGAAGACACCAGAAAAAAAAAGTTTCTCAACTCCGCCGACATGAATAATGGCCGTTGTTCGTTGGGCATATGTTCTCATACCTTTTGTCAAGTGTTTACCTGTGCGGTCATCCATACCAAAAGCGTCGTATATGTTTGGTTTTGAGATCCGAAGCTATTTACAACATGGGTATAATTTAGATGAAAATTAATTTCTAGATATTTATGTAATCCAGAGTGCATGTAACACGTGCTGATGTACCAAACTATTATCTAATCCAGAGTGTCTGTAATGTGCTGATGTACCAAACTATTATCTAATATATATCTAATATATAATTCTCTTTCGTCGAAAAAAAAAATACTGGATTCACCCACACGGACGGGGGTCCCACGGACGGACACATGCGACATGCCATCCACAACACGGCTTCCCAGTGTGCCGCTGCTGCATACTCGCCTATAGCTGCGGGTGCCGGGTGCGCGTGCGCATTCCACTATACTACTTCACGTCCGCACTTCTTCCTCTCAAACCAGCTCTCCGTAAACCCGCACGCAACCATCCCAAACCCCCCGCCGCGGCCCGCGGAGGCGGAGGCGGAGGCGAGGCGGGAACCCTAGCGACCTATACGAACCCCGACCGTCGTCGCCGGCGGCGGCCATGGAGGCACCCTTCGATTTCAAGATGAGAACCATTCTCTGCCTGAACCGCAACCTTCCGTACGGCACCACCGGGCCGGACATGGACTTCTTCGAAGCCGCGTTCGAGGGCGACCTCCCCCGCCTCAGGGGTAAGCCGATCGCCGACATCCCGACCTGGAATCGATCTCTGTTGCGCGCCGCCGATGCGGCGGCCGCTGGCCCCCGGCCACGCTTGTTTCGCCTTGCATTTTGCGCTGGGGTTTTGGAAGGGGTTCCGCTTTGGCCTTGCTTCGCGGGGAGCGCGGCTACTGTATAGTACTAGTATACTAGTATTTGTTTGGTCTAACTGCTGTTCACGGATTCATTTTGTGATCGGACTGAAGAGATGGCGAGCGGCAAGGACGCGGAAGAGAAAGCGCTGCTGGCGGACGTGTGCTTTGACGGCCTGGGCCCGCTCCAGGTGGCGGCGCGCATGGGGAGGCTGGACGTCGTCAGGTACCTGGTGGAGGACCTCGGCTTCGACGTCAACCACGGAAGCGCCGGGTTTGGTATGTGCGCGCTTCCTTTCTCTGCGTTAAGATTTTGCTCCTCTGATGCATCGATGAGCCTCTGATTTTGCAAGTTCATCATAATTTATCTACTTGTTCCATTATTAGAGATCCATTAACTCTGAAATGCTAGGTTCATTAAATTCGTGCCATTAAATCCGTGGACTACTGGTTGACGTGGCCTGCTATCATTGAAATTTTGCATCCTTTGTTGCCAATTGTCAAGGGTATTTATGAACTCTGCTTTGTTGGCTTCTAGCTAACTTGGCTTTTCACTAAACATCATATTTGCAGCTAGATGACTATATGTTTATTACCCTGTGCAAGTATCCTTTGTACATCACGTGCTCTATAGTTGGGATATGCCGACTTGGTAGATTTGTAATTGTACTGATGATTACATTTACAGCCAGTGACTCTGTTTCAATCTTATATGGCAGGTTTGACAGCTTTGTCTTCTGCTGCATTGGATGGGAGACTGGACACTGTGAGATACCTTCTGGACAACGGGGCTGATCCAAATCTGCAAGACGAACTTGGCGAAGTTCCTCTTCACTGTGCTGCAAAATATGGTGTTCCCTCTAAATTTTCTGAACTTTCTATCTGCAGATTTGCTGTTGTATAAAAGGAATAGATATAGTACAACAGATTATTGTGCTGGGATAGTTAGCATTTCTGGTGCTGCTCATTTCCTGCCCTTAGTGAGATGTGGTTTTCTTGTTCTTTGAGCTTTCTTACAAGCTTTGAAAAGATTAATTGTTGATCTTTTGTATGCTTTCCCTATTTTCTGTCCTTTAGTACTGTCCAATAATATAATAAGTGTGCTCTTTACCTTTTGACCCCTGGATGAGATGATGTTGAGGACATCACTACTTTTCCTTCAGTTTCAGATACCTTTTTTTTTTGTTGCAAGTTTGAGAACTAGCAGTCGCATGACTGGTATTTGAGATCATATAGAACATATGGTTAGGTTCTTCCAGATGAGTTTTACTTAAATTATATGTTCAGAATGTATGATGAAACCATACATTCTAAGATTATATCCTCGTTGTTTAGTCAATTTGTGTAAGAATTCTTATGCTCATGGTATTTAGGAGAGTAAAAGTTTGTAACTTGGATTTTTGTGCTTTTTCTATAGGGCATGACAAAGTAACAGAGCTGTTACTATCTAGAGGAGCCAGTGTTGATCTAACTTATTTTCATGCGACGCCACTACATATTGCTGCTGTCTACGGGAAGGCCAGTGTCATGAAAATTTTATTGGAGCACCATGCAGATGTAATTAGCAAACTCCACTCTTCTTAACTTGTGTTTTGTATGCTACCTTGGTAAATAATGCTAATGCATGTAGTTTGTTGGAGTACACTTCCACTGTGACCTTGTCTCAACTTTTTAAGTCTTTAACTCTTGATATTCATCTGTACTCCCAGTTACTATCAGCTCAAAATCATGTAGAGAGTTGTCAGCTGGAACAAACATTTCATCTAGACCTGTTGTTTTCTACAGTTGCATCTTCTTATTTCCTTATATTTGCAATTGCTCAATCTTTACGGTATAGCATGAGGTTATGGATAGTGCCTTGTTTTTCATCTTTAGTTCCTTCTCACTTTTAAGTATGGACATGGGGAAAAATTCTTGCTGTACCCTCTCTGATTTCTGGTTATGTTTGCCACTCAATACGGATATCTGTTTCACTGTCGCTTTTTTTTAAGGCTGTTGTTACTATTAACGCTTAGCGATTCCTAAGAAAAGCATGTTACAAATTGTCATGATCCTGCAGTATTTTATGCTGACTGCAAGCAAAGGCAAGGTTATTTATAACAATAGGGGGTATGTTGAGTTTCTATATGTTTGCTTGAGGTTTTGAATAAGATGACCTCTGCATTTGCATCTTGATGTATTCTGTACTTCAAAATATTTTGGCTCCATATTTCTGGTCCAGCATTTTATGTATTGCATAGATCATAATACATTTTTCACTAGAGGTGATATTTTCTTTTTCAAAAAATGTAGCCGAACATGGTTTCAGAAGTTTTAGGTACACCATTGGTTGCGACACTTCATGCTACTATGGAAGGACTTGAGGAATGTATTTCTTTGAAGTGTGTGAAGGTACTTGTTGAGGTCAGTTACTATTTCACCTTCACTTCATGTCATTGTATTAAACCATACTCATTCAAAACTAATCTAAGCCGTGGAATCAGCATATAACCGGACCATTTGTACCTTTTAATACAACGGCACACATCTTTTCTCCGGGTATGAGAATAAAAATATATTGAAAGTCTAATCTCATAGAATGAGTACGGTATTAACATTTTTTGATAACTTGCTACAACTTTTAATTCTATGTAATTCATATCTACAGGCAGGTGCTGATGTGAATTCTACTGATCCTGACACTCCCTTAGTGGTCGCAACTACTCATGGCTTGACTGACTGCATTAAGTATTTGTTGAAGGCTGGTGCAAATGCTAACATTCCAAATAGTTGTGTGAGTATTTTTCAACATTTTGTATTCTTTTTACCTGCTCATTGTTCTTGGTGCTTGCAGTTTTGTTAATCATGCAATGCCTTCCGTTATTTTTTTTTACCAATATATATATATATATATATATATACACTTTTACTGAAGGATCTATTTTTTATTTTGTTAATCATTGGTTTTATTTAGGATACTTGGGAAATTCTGGCATAGGCATCTTTTTGTTGTTTTACAATAATGCCTCTTCCTAAGCCATACAATCAATATTCTACAACCTTCATGTTAGTGACTAACAGTTTGTTACCATGTGGCACATCTGTTGATAGCTTCCCTATTGCTACTGCCGCTACTATCCCATGGTCAAATGTAGTCTTTAGTTTGGATCCTACAACTAGGACAGAGGTTGTGCCTTGTTATCTTGAGACCTGTGCTCTTGAGATTTTGGGCAGATGTACTGAAGGAAAGTGGTCTCGAATTTGTGGTACTTCCAGCTAGTTACGTGAAGAACTAGAATGTCGACATGAATATTACTTAAGTACATATAATTGTCTCACTTCAGTAGTGCTTAGTGTTGAAAAAAGGGAAATAAATAGCGTTGCTTCTTTTCTTTCTCGAAGACACAGTACAACTACAGATGTCCTTAAGTAAATTGGTCTCAGATATAAGTCTGTTGCAAGAAAAATGAAGTGCTCTTGGTCATCACAATAGCAATGCGTAATTGTTTTGTATTGAGTTAAATACACCAGAGGTACATGGATTTGTCATGTTGTGCCACTTAGGTCCACAAACTCTGGAAACCCATATGTTCATAAAAAAACATATGTCATGCTATCGTGCCACGTCAGCAAGGAAGCACCACCAAAGTGTTATGGACTTGGACGCATCATTTAACAAGCTTAGAGACACAGAAATGCATTTTCGGAGTCCATGGACCTAAGTGGCACACCGTGACAAGTTCATGGACTGCTGGTGTATTTAATTTTTTTTGTATTTGTTGCATTCTCTACTGTTTATGTGTGCTGAGTACAGATGAGTCTTGAGAGATCCGTATCAGCCTTTTCAGTTGTTACATCTATGTCTGTATGATGTCCGTCATCTTTTTTCAATCACCTGACGTAGTACTTCTAATAAGGTTCCTCTTCTTGTGTTGCCTGACAGTGTGGTGCTATGCCAATAGAAACTGCCGCAAGCTGTGGAAGAAGAAAGCATGTGGAAATGCTATTTCCTTTCACTTCTCCCATTCAAACTGTGTCAACAAGGACTGTTGATGGAATTATTTCTCATGTCAAATCGTCAAAACATTTGAAACATTCAAAGCCCAAGGTATGAACTGTATGTGTTCGTACTTTATCCCTCATTTGCAAGATAGTCTGGGCACATCTACAAAAGGCCAGAGCACCCACACACCATAGTTGTTAAAATCTATGATATTACTATACGATTTTACGCCTTTACAATCTTAACTAAGTGATCTGATTCTACGATCCTAGTCAGTAGTCTACGTTTCTATGATTTTTTTTTTATGTTTACAATCTTATAAGAAAAACTATAGCTCATGGGCATTTTGCTAAGAAGACCTCACGCGGGTCGAAAAAACCCCCGAGCCCCTACCCCACCCATACACAACGACACTATACCTCATGTGAGAACGACCATGACCTGGGCCAAACCTTAGACCTATGCTTTGGCGTGGAATTTTTTTAACCCTAGCATGAAATTCGCTCCCATGGGGAGTCGAACTCAGGACATGAGGAGTGCTACTAGAGCCTCCTAACCAACTCAACTCAACTAGAGGCCCATTTGTTGATTACGGTCTTATAAGAGGGATTTGCTGACTCTTTGTAGGTACTCATACCTTTGTATCCTTTTTCCTGCCCAGAACTTCTGTTTCTCTACTTCTGCTATTCAATGTGCTCTCTTCCATTGTTTTTGTCTTTTCCACCCCTGTTCTTCTTTCGTGACCAAACCACAATTCTCTGCCGGGTATTAACAGACCAATAACATACTATTATAATCTTCCGGTGAAGTGGATTGAAATGAGGTGAATACTGTACCATGTCACCATGGTGGCATTTGCTTGCAAAACAAGGCTAGGTTGAAATCTTAGTTTACACCATGTTTTTTTCGTTATTGCACTTACATTTTTTTAAAAGTGATGGTTTGTTTTAACTGTATGCAACTTGGTTATTTCTGAAATCCTTGCATATGTTAGTGTGATGTCACCTCATTGAACTTATGTCTTTGGCAAGCATTATATATTTCATGGTTTAGGTTGGGCCATATGATGAAAGCTCAAAAGTTAAGCTGAAATTAGATGGTGACAAGGCTGTTGGGAGAAAGAACTATCCTGCTACATCAAAGCTATATGGGGAGGTCAGTGATATGATTTACATTTTGTTTTTATTATGCTCATCTGAAGCTTGATTTGTCTTCATAATTTAGGCTGAGCAATATGATAAAAGCATGAAAGATGAGCTGAAATTAAATGGTGACAAGGCTGTTGGGAGAAAGGATTACCTTACCGCATCAAAGCTCTATGGCAAGGTTGGTGGTGATACTAGGAGGAACTTTATGTTATTATGCTCTTCTGATGCTTGACTTAACCTATGCTTGCATTAACACTCTGCATTAGTAGAGGGGTGTATACTTTGTTTACACCTGCTGGTGTTTGAAAGACCTGAATTCAAACCTTTGTTTTCAGGTTGCAATCTAGAACCTTCATCAGACATCAATATACCATTATGGCATTGATTATAGTCATACACTTTCGATAGCCGGACCCATGCTGATGGCACCGAAATCCTGCCCCTCCCGCGGGGAACTAGTACCACCAATAGATATGCCCGTCCCTTCTTGGGCAACCCTTAAAGTCTCTTCTTGTACGGACTGAAACAAGACAAACTACTCGCGGGACCCACTTCTGATCTCTTTCTTTAGTTTTCCGCTTTATTCCTTTATTAGAAAAAAGTAGCTTTCCTTATTAGTAGCGCTAGTATCTTTTCATAATGATTACTTTTTTTTTCAGAGAACTTACTTCCTAGATTTTGAGAAGCTGAGGCATTGCCGGTTGGGGGGACAATTGATCGAAACGAATAACAACTAGTCACGATTAGGGACAAAGCTCAGCTAGTATATGTAATGTGTTCAAGGCGCATTTCCTCCAATGACTAGACTAAATAATATGGGCGGAAGGATTGACTTAAACGTTGTTGCATGAGCGGCTTCTAAATGAGTGGTTGATGATTGTCTGCTGTTGTCAAAAGTTGTTGTATTGTGTTGCTCACTGAGTTTGTATGTTGGTTTTTGTTGTTGTTGTTGTAAAAAGCACTGAGTTCGTATGTGTTCTGATGCAGGCAATTGAGCTAGACCCAGCTGATGCAACACTGTATTCAAACAGGAGCTTGTGCCTTCTTCAAATTGGCGAAGCAACAGAGGCTCTGTCCGATGCCAAAACTTGCATCAAGATGCGACCTGAATGGATAAAAGGTTACTACAGGAAAGGAACTGCCCTCATGTCACTCAAGGTTAGATCGAAAGGGCATAATTCCTCCTGTATACCGTTTTATGTCACCTAGTGGTATATTTATCAGCTCAAATCTTCATCCCAGGAGTACAAAGAAGCATGTAATGCGTTCATGGCTGGGTTCAAGCTAGACCCTTCAAATGCTGTGATGGAGAGAATGTTCTGGTAACCTTCTATTGACCACTAAACTTTTTTTTTTTTGTGTGTGTGTGTGTGTGTGGATCTCTTCTCTGGTTTCTTTGGCATGACAGTAAGCCATTTGTATCATGTGCAATGGATATAGTAACCGTTTAGATATATTCTCATAATAATCACAAGGTTTGGTGAACTCCATTTTTGGGATAAACTGTCCTTGATAATCATAAGCTTATGACAGTTCTGCCAGAATAAAAGGATATATACATTTTAAAGAAAGATTTTATTGAGGGAGAAAAGTTGTTTCTTATGCCGGCTTTTATGGAGCAGTTTAATGTTCTTCCATATTTTGCAGGGAGGCAGCTGAGGCCATGAAAAAGGACCATGTTGGTACAAAGGACTTGGAGTCCATCGATTAGAGGAACCAGCACTGACATGTCCAGGCACTGGGGTTTCTTTTGTGCTGCCTATTTTGTATGGGGATTCTTTTGTGCTGCCCATTTTGTACATATGTAGACAGCCATGGTGATTTCCTGCTACGAAGAATTGTCCCATATACTATGATTCATTTCTCGGCTGGCTAATGAGCAGCTGGGGACTGTGGTACACGGGCCTAATGAGCCGAATGGTTAATTTCTGGACTGGCTAAATGGGCTACTTGGCGGAATATTATTTATATGGGCAAGGCCTTGATTTGCCACTTCACGATCAGAGTTAAGGAGCGATCTCACTCTTTACATTATGATCAGAGTTAAGGAGCGATTCTTTTTTTTGCCCTGCCAAGTCACACGATGAACATGAACATCGTTATCGAATGGCTCAATTCAGAAAAGAAAGAAAGAAAGAAAGAAAAACGAGCACTCGGGTTATTGTACTTATAGACAATCGCTGGATTCTGAAGATGATTCTGGAGGAGTATTTCTCGCTGGATTCTGAAGGAGTATGTCCTTTCTAAAATATATGAGACACATGATTAAGCATATTGCAATTGTGTCAGAGAGAAGAGTTTTAATCTTTGGGACGAATCAGTTTGTCTTTCTCGGGGTCTTTTTCGTAAAAGCATCGGGGGCTAGACTTGGCCGGCTTTTGGCCTGTTCAACCTTAGAGCCGCGTGGCGTTTGGGCTCGCGTCCCGACCCGGCCTCTCCTGGCGCCCCCGCCTGGGCCTGCTGTAGCGCCCCTCTTGGGCCTTAGCCACGTAGGGCCGGTGCCACTTACCTGGGCCTTTTCGTGGGGTCTCGAAGGAAATTTGTTTTTCCTTTTTTTTCCTTTTTCTGCAAAAACTTCAAAAATCCACCAAAACTCATAGGAAAATCAGAAAAATGCCAAATAATTTTTTTGTTAGCTTTATAATTTTTTTCTATCCTTAGATGCTATGTTCCATCTTAGGTGGTGTGATATCCATAGGTGTAATTAATTCGTGCTTGCATTTGTCATATAGGTCCCATGGAGACCGCAAACACGCCTGAACAGATCTCCTACTTGCAACATAGGAGTGGTAGGTGCTCCAATGGATCTCCTATATAATTTCCTGTTACTAAATTTTTAGATGTCCTGAAAAGATCATCCTCTTCCCTAAAGAAAGGAGAGCCCTCCTCCTCAATACAACATTTTTTTGGTGAGGATTTTTTCTGAGCACACACCCTGCCTTCCTTCCTTCCTCCGTTTTGGCACTCCTCTTCCTCCGTCACTACATCTTTCTCTACTAGGAGCCACTCCCTCTTACCTTCTAGATCTCATCCACCTCCAACTTGGGGCTGAGTAGATCCATGATGGTCGTGACTGAATCCATGGCTAAGCCAATCGGATCAAGCTCTAGGATGCTCCTCATTGTTGGGGCCAAGCTCCTTTGTGCCACCATAGAGGGGAGATAATGGTAGGGTGGAAGGGCAGAGTTGTGCCGATGGTGACACCAAGAAGAGAGATGGAGTAATATCGACTAGAGAAGAAGAGAGAGATGAAGCGATGTGGAAATGAGAGAGGAAAGAGCTGGGTATTAAAAATAAAAAAATAAAAAAGAATTCAGCGACTGACAGGTGGATCCCATATGTCAAGCGAATTTTAGGAGAGGTGGGATTAGTAATATGCTTGAAGGAGGTGACAAAGAATAAAAAAGATGGTGGACATAATATACCCTATATACTCTTTTGAGATACGGTGGATAGGAGATATGTTGGGGATGCTCTAAGGTCACCTACAAAAGAAGTTCCAATGGCGGACTTAGGACTATCCGATAGGGGGCTCGCTACTTGTTTCTCCTCTCTATTCCTATACCTCTATTTCTTCTCCTTCCTCTTCTTTATCTATGTCTAAAATTGTTTGGGGGCGGGTGTTAAGGGGATCCATTGCCTGCAAGAGGGTAGGGGGAGGATTCGCCCTTGAAGAAATTCATGTATATTGTTTGGTGCACCAAAATTAGCAAATATTTGGTTATGACCTATATTTTTATTTTTATTATACACTTAGGAAACCTAAAATGTGAACGCACCCACATTCAGTAGGTATGGAAGGTTAGGGTTGGCAACAACTTCTCTTTCTTCTCCTGAGGCACTTTTATTTCCTCACGCGTCTTATTTCTCTTCTTCGCCCTCAAGCATACCTAACCTTCACCCATCATAGAGCCATCAACCCAAAGGCTATTCACGATCTGCAATGCAGAGATGCTTGTGTTATTGTGTTCTTGTTGAAACACTATGCCTTGCAAGAGTATGTTGGATGCTTGAGCCGCTGGAAGACCTCACCACTTTTAGCTATGGTTGTCGCTGCTATTATCTAGAGTGAGTTCTAGAAGCCGATTTGAAACTTGGATCTTTTTAGCAAAATTTTCGATTGAGTTGTATTATGAGACATGATTCAGCATTTTGTGTCTAAAGTTTTCAAATTCGAGTTGAAAGGAAAACGTTGTAATCGAAAGTTTTGGATCTGAGTTGAAGATTTTTTTATGCAAGTTGGGAGTTATGAAGCTAAGTTAAAATTGAGGCATCGCTAAAGAACTTGCCTTATTCAAGTTGAAAGATGGGATCTTGGAAGTGGTTAGAGGAGGTGAACTTATTCAAGCTGAAAGATGGGATCCTGGAGGATTGGAACTTGGAAGTGGTTAGTGGAGGTGAACAGCCATCCCCGACAGGGAAGGTAAGTTTTCTAACAATAGCAAATAGAAAGCCTCAACAATTTGCTTGTATGAATTAATAGAAACCATTTGTCAAAGAACAGTTTGAAAATACTCTGATACTATATCAGTTGCAGTCAAAATCTGCAAAAAAAAAAAAAAGTGCAATGTGTTGATAATCGCTTCAACGTATGATCTAATTAAAAAGAACAGTATTATGTCAAGAAGATCAACAAACAGGTTCAGTAAAAAAATCAACAGACAGCACTGATTGGGATGGTTAGAAGTGAAATGTCATATGGAGAAAGGGCTGTTTAGCTTGGCCTTTTTAAGTAGACAAACCAATAGTTTGGGTAGCCATGCTGAAACCTAAGGGATGTCAATTCCAGATAGTTTTTTTAGCTTATAACCATACCGGGCAGGACTTCTTCCACAATCATCCATCTGTACTAGAACCTGTCCTAATGGGCTTTTATGAGTCTTTTTTGACTTTTCTTTTTAATACAAGAAAAAAGTCAACATTATCTCTCTCAACTTTTGCGAAAGTCTACTTTTCCTCCAAGAACTCTAAAACCGGATAAACCACCTCCCTGAACTTTTAAAACCATTCGTTTTACCTCCCTGACCGGTTATAAGCGGCTTTGTGTTTTTCTTTTTTATTTATTTCGGCCAAATCTTTGAAAAATTATAGTAAATCACAGAAAAATCATAAAATAAAAAATCTAATTTTGTTGGACTCTACATGAGTAGATCTACACAGTGAATATATATAATATCATATGCTTTAGTACAATTTTTTTTACTGTAGCTTTAAATCCACTTTCATACTCATTGGATCATGTATAACTTAGTTATAGATTTATTTAGGTGTATGCTTGTTAAAAAATATTTATAAATCTAAAGCATAGATCTAAAACTACAGCAAAAAAATTATACTAAAACATACAATATTATATGTTCACTGTGTAGATCTATTCATGTGGAGTTCAACAAAATTGAATTTTCCATTTTATGATTTTTCTGTGATTTACTATGATTTTTCAAAGATTCAACCAAAATAAATAAAAGAAAAAAAAACAAAACCGCCTTTGAAAACTACTTATAACCGATAAGGAGATAAAACGAACGGTTTTAAAAGTTCAAGAGGTGGTTTACCCGGTTTTAGAGTTCAGGGAGGAAAAACAGACTTTCACAAAAGTTAAGAGAGGTAATGTGAAATTTTTCTTAATATAATGATACACAATTCTCATTCGTGTCAAAAAAAAAGAAGATTTGACTCAATTCGGCCTAGTAGTCTAGGCAATGCAGATTTTTTTAAAGGATGACCAAATTCCTGCATTCAACCAAGTGCTGACAAAATTGAGGTCACTAGTGCAGTTACTTGCTGGTGACCTAAGGCCATGCCCAGTTGCACATATCACTAACCAACACTAACATCATCCACGTTGTCTTGGCTCATAAGTCAAGACCCTGTTCGCTTGGACTTATCAGCCATGATAGTACAGCATTTTTCTCTAAAAAAAATAATATCCGCCGACTTATCAGCCACAAAAACTATCAACCCTGCAATGCAGACACGAACAGACATACTCAACAGGATAAAACAGATGAGCGAACAACCACTTCAGCACTGACCGTAAACTGCAATATCACAAACATTATTCTAATATCCTCCTCTCTTTTTTAAATTTTCCTGCAATAAGGTGATATATTTTCCATACAGAGATAAGCTATACTTTCTCCATGAGCCATATGCTACAGAAAACCAGCAAAAACCTGGTCCAAAAGCACGCTACAAATGTTAGCTGAACCAAGTTAGCAGACGACGCACATTGTTATGTAAATCAGGGCAATTACAACACTCCCCCATGAACAAACGGACGCCCATTGGTGGTCGGCAAATAGAGGCATCATGATCCACGAGGCTAAAGTAAACTGCAACTAATGGTTGTTCCTAACCTGCTTGCTGATGTGACCTGAGACTATGGTTGCTTCAGATGCCCCTCCCCTTCAGCAACCCCACCCACAGAGGTGGAGATGTGGGTTATTGAGCTCAGCTGAGATGGCTGACAAAGAAGTTCTGCCTCTGGGTGCCGTGCATTGAGAGGAATCTCCAGCAGCAAGTCTTGATCAGAGTTGGCATACTGAGGAGGGACAAATAATGATAACTTTTCTGGGGGTAACATGAATAAGTTAAGTGCTCCTCCAGTGCAAGTTGAATCTTTGGTGGCGTAGCCAGATTTTGGCAAAGATGAGTTTTTAAATTGAGTCGTCAAAGCTCCAGATTTTAGAACTCTTATAGGACTCCTCATGGTACCATCTGCATGTTCACAAGCAAAGAAAATAAGAAACCTTTCTGTTACAGACATAAGGAAATAGTAAAATAGAAATATATACTACATAAGACATTTTTGGATGTCACATCTAGAAACTTGATGCAAATCAGGATTAGAGAAAATAATATTACTAACCTGAGTCGCTCTGAAAGTGGTTGTCGTCACGGGATCTTTTGACTGGTTTTATGGTAGACTTGGTAAAGCCTTTTGATCCACTGATATTCTCCACTCCTCTTGTTTCCTTAATTTCCTTTTCCTGAACAAAGAGAAATACCTAATTAGCCATGTACAAGCAAGCTTGGAAGTTCATATCGGCAATAAGTCAAAAGAAGATAAAGTGGAAGGGTTGCCCTGGGGGAGGGGGGGAGGGGGATGTCCGTAAATGTATTAGAAAGCCATTTGGATACCTTTAGCTGTTTATAGCACTCCAGCCATTTGCATTTTGTTAAATTAGTTAAGGCAAGTGTCTTTACTTTCTTCCACTCTTCATCACTACAGAAAGATGAATCAAGAATTCCCTCTCCAAGCAGTAGACCTGAGCATTTTGAGGGCCGGGCCAGGCCGAAAAAAAGGCCGATTATTTGGGGCCGAAAAAGTCCCGTCCACGACCATCCCACTGGGCAAGTCGGGCCTAATTTTTCAGGCCGTGCCCGGGCCTGGGTGGGCCGCCCGCGCATTTTACACTGTAAATTAGCTAAAATAGTATTTCAGGCTGGGCTCAAGCTAAGAAAAAATTTTCTGGGCAGCGGGATCTGTGCCCAGGCCCTGTCCACTATGGTTCGTGGGCGGGCCAAAACCCGGGCCAGGCTCAATTTGCTCAGGTCTACCAAGCAGCATTTGGTAGCTGTCTATAGCATCAGAAAATTGGATAGAACTAAACATGGGTCTAAGGCTGCAGCAAGAACAAGATACAAATGAGGACTAGCGTAAAGTGGCCTCAGGTTGTGTTACTTAAATTATGGGCAAGAATAAAGTAAACCTTTCAGGTGTCAAGGAGTCTAACAGGAGGAAGAAATTTGAGCAACTGTTGTTGGTCCTCTTTAGTTAGATATTTCATGAAGTTAGTATAGTTGATAACATCCTGCTCAAGAAGAAGACAATATATACATGTTTAGTTTCAATGATGATTAGCCAACATATGTATATGTTAAACATACTCAGTGGTGTTCAGTCCAAATAAACATCTGCAGACTACAGATCATCAACCCAAACAAAAAAAAGCATGTATAGGACAGATACCTCTAAATCTGCTGAAACTAAAGGTGAATCAACACTCTCCAGGATATGTTGATTTTCATAATGAAGTTTATCCCTGCAAAACAAAGATAAGACCGAAAAAGAAAACTTAGATTGTTTCTTACCGAAGTAACCTGTGTAACCAATACTGAATGAGCATAGACAATAAAACCAATGCTGAAATGCCCACTTCTATGCTAATAAGAACATAAAAAGTAAAATACCTTCTACCATTATCTTCAATACGCAGAAGTGACCTTTTTGGTCTCACAGTTGCAGCATTTAAGTTGATTGCTGCCTTGTTTCCACTATGAGAGACAAACGACACAGACCCTGAATAGGATTCACTTGTAATGTATGATTTATTATCTGCAGGAATGGAGCTTGCTTCTGATTCTTCCTCCAGTGATTTTGAGTTCGGATGCCTTAGAAGCACACTTCCAGAGCCAATCTCAAATGAACCAACAGGAGTTTCACTATGGTACAGTAGGTCTTCCTCTGATGATCCTGAAAGGTAGTATAACTGCTCTTCATGCATGATGGAGTTAAGATATTTTGCAAGCTTTTCTACAGATGAAGGCTTCGGACGAGTGACACAGCTCCTCTTTCTTGATGGCACTAGGGATTCCCAAGCATGTGATTGTGCTGAACCTGAATTGGCAATATATCATAGTCAAATGACATATATAACAAAAAAAAGGAAAGGTAATTTCTAGAGTAAGGAAAATCTTGGGAATTGATATTAGATCTTTATTTTGTTTCATAGGCTCAATGTGATTAAACACCACTTCAGAGATGTGGTAAAGGACGACACGCTATTGCATATCATGCATCAAGTATTGATTTTTTTTTAGCAAACCAAGTATTGATATTTAGTTAAACATTGTCTTATTAGATATTATGCTCCATGCCATCTGAATCCAATAAGTAGACCACAATCGTTCACGGTTACCCCATGATAATAGTAAGTAATTTAGTCACAAGTAGCTAGTGATTTATCAAACCACCATAAGTTCTAAACTTCTTGCGAATTCATAGTTCTAAACTACAGACAGAACAGGAATTTAATAAAAAAAAAAATTGGGTGGCACCAATACGGTTGTGAAAAACAGAGAAGAAAAATAAGATCTGCAATACAAGCTTATTATTAATATGATCTCTCAAAGGGTAGCAGTAGAATAACTATATAAAGATGTCTAATGGAAATTTTAGTGTATTAAGCATAACTTTGTAGACAAGCATACAAGAATGTATTTCTGGCATTCATCTGGATTGAGTCCAATCTCAAGCGCATACTCGAAGAATGAGAGAGCACCCAAATTATATTATTAAGCAATAACAAAGTAGGCATGAGATCACTGACCAGTCATTTCAGCAACACGACTCTCAGAGTATGATACTGCAGATCCAGAACTAGACCAATTGCTTGGGTCAGCACCCCCCATCTTTTGGAAATTCTGACCAGAAAATGGCCCATTCTCCATTATGATGTGATTTGATTTTTTCTTCTGGGACTTTGACTTTGATGTTGGTGGCTTCAGCCTACTAACTCTAGGTTCATCATCATCCTTGCGATGCATTGGAGTGTAGTTTGCCAATGAACCCTTTGTTCTCCATCTCGAGCCACATGCATTGCAGAGCACTGGCTTATCTGGTGGCCCATTTCGCCAAAGGGGAGTACCTGTTCCAGCATTTCCCATGAGAAAACCATCAAAACTGATACAAAAATATGGGCAGCACACAAGTTCGGCAGTGTGCCCATTACTACTATTTACATGTAGCAAGACATGGTGACATCATGGTACTATGGTAGGGAACATAGAAAAAGGGTAAGAAACTATACATCATCAAGAATGTATCGAGAAGGCATCACGTAACCAATCAGATATATTCAGATATTGTTTTCATTGCCTCAATGGTTAGTTCAACTGTACAGGCATGTAATTCTTAATATGCTGTTCTACGCATTGGCCATACTGAGTGCTGATAGCCACTTCAAAGGAGCATTTTGCTGTAGTGATAGTTGAACAAAGTTCAGACCATATAATGCTGCTGGCACAAGATGGGATAAACCTGTGTAATTACAGAGCAAAGCAATGTTTTCACTTCAATGGAATCCTGAAACTAAGCATATTTCTGTAGCAGCAGCAGCAGCAATTGAACTCTAAATGGCAGAAGCAAATGGTTATTTTCTTCTTCTTGAATTGGAGCCTGAGCTGAATCTAATCTCTCATTATCTGCAGAAGTCATCAAAGAAGCGTATATCCACCGTAGTCAAACACAAGCCTAAATGTGTTCCGTGAGCATGGTACAAACCGTTCGTCACGTTCAGAATTTTATAGGGAAAGACCCTAACCTCAACCGTATCCACAGATTTCTCTTGAACACTGCTGGCAGTTCAAAGAATCCAGAGTAGTAATAACCGCCAACGAAAACACAAAGATGAGGAATTCGAGTCCGATTTTGTCTAAGGCCCGCTTCCCAGATGCATAATCGGAGAAATCATCACCCGTAAAGTACTAGTTGCTAAGGAACAAAGAGGGAAAGAGAGGAAAACAAGAGAAAAATAAAAGAACTGGAAGAAAAAATTTAGCTTTATTCAAGCATAAGAGCTCACTTGTGACTCCGCAATGATGGCAGGGTCCTTGCTTTCCCATGATTCCCTCTGCTCCTCACCTTCCCACAGGTGAAGAAGAATGGACCAGAGGAAAATCTCAACAAAACAAACACGGGAAAACAAAGCAGAAACAAGCAGTTCTCCTGTACAGGTAAATTCTTGAGCACAAGAAAGGAAAAAAAACCGAAAAAAGTATTTCTCTGTATGAATCTCGTCAAACCCAGAGGGGGTTCCTGAGGACAATTCCACAGCCCATGGAGGTGCTAAAGAACCAAGCCTTACTTTGGTGTTCTTCTTCCTTTCTCCCTTCCCTTCTATTTGTTGGACCCTATTTGTTTCCCTATTGTTCCGTATCCAGTCTTTTAGAGAGGGTAGAGGAGAGCGAGGGAATAATGTAGGAAGGAGAAATGCAGCAGCGGCCGCCCGGGGAGATTAGCAAAGGCAGGGTGAAAAGCATTTGGGGATGAATCCAAAAGAATTATAATTTAAAATGCATATGTTTTTATTAAATCTAGAGAGAGAAGCAATTAGGAATTGGGCAAAGTTGGGAAAAAAAAGATGAGGTAGAGTGACAGAGAAGAGGGGAAAGCTTCTTTCTCTCTTGTATCTTTCGGTCTTTGGGGTTGATTTTTGTTGTGATTTCATTTCATTCAATCGCATTATTATTCATCTGGATGTGACTAAGTTGGAGCTGAGGATATTCCCTTGAACTAATTATTAGTCAATTTGCTTACCTTAAAGCCCTGCACTCCGGGTGCCATTAAAAGAATCTTTTTGCCTTGGGCCATTTGCATCTTACCCCCTTGAGAAAGAGCACATGTTGTCCACCAAAGTCGTGTATGGAGACGCTACACAAGCTCAACCAATAATGCATTGTTGTTTAAAAAAAAACAATGCATTGTTACATAACGGAGTTTAGATTGAAAGTCCATTTTGATAGGTTAAATGCAATTTGGTGTATAGATTTTAGGCATAGGTCATAAGCTTACAGTATTGTCAATAAAAGTCCATTATGAGAAAAATGCGGGAAACATACATGGCAATGGAGAGAATTGCGCACAAAGTGCTGCCCAATAGCAACAAAAGTCAGGCTAGAACCCCTTAAACTAGAGTTGAGGGCCCGTTCATGTGACGGGTTGCGCAACTCGTCACTATGTCCTCCTCCCCCACCACTGCCTCCCACTAGCTTCAGCAGCCTCCACCGTCCCGCCGTTGTCCTTCGCTACCTCCACCGCTTGGCTAGTCGAAGCTCTGCCACCTCCACTCACTCGCCCATAGCCACTATCGACCGCGCCTATGACGAGAGCCCTCCAAAAACCATGAAACCCTAACCCCGACCACTAATCACGTGACCTTCTCCGGCAATGGCATTATGCGATGCGATCGTGTGCTATCGCATGACAGTGTGCGGTAGAGTTCCTCTAGAGTTTAAGATCATCGGACATCCTTTAGATAGGTACTACCTCCGTCCACAAAAGAATGCAATTCTCACATTTTGAGGAGTCAAACCGTTTAAACTTTGACTAAAATTGTATAAAAAAGTGCTAACACTCATGAGACAAAATAAGTACATTTAGATTAGCTATAGAATATATTTTCATAATAAATTTATTGGAGACATAAATGCTAATATTATTTACTACAAACTTCATCAAACTTATGCTAGTTTGACCGATACGATTCCTATAATTGCATTCTTTTGTGGATGGAGGGACTACGTGGTATCTTGTGGTCGGGCATACATCATTCCCTAGAGGTATATTGGCATAGATGAAAGTTGTAGATCAACCTCTGTGCTACAAACATGATAAAACGAGGCAAAATTTGATAACTATTTGAAATATTTGAAATGAGCCTAAACTATATTTGCATTTTTTTAGGTCGATCACAAAGTATGGAAATGACTAAGGTAGGAAGTTAGGCGTCATTAATAGCGTAAATATTGTGGGTAGGACGTCTGTTTCATTCGGATGCGCGTTGGTGGGCCTCAACACCGGCCTGAACGGCCCAACAATGCCATCCGCACGGATGGACCCATCTCACGTTGCTCAAATAAAAATCTCCGTCACTTTCCTCTCGAATCGCTGCTGCTTCCACATCCAATCTCGAACCGCCGTCATGCCCGCACCGCCACGGCGTGCTCTACCGCGACTGCGCTGCCGGCGGTCGAAACATGGTGGTGTGCTGCACCGCGCCCGAGCGCCATCGCATGCCTTCCTATCCCCCATCGCTACTCACCACTTGCCGCCGAGTTCTTCGAGCCGACACAGCGTGGCACACGGTGACTCTGCTCTGGCGCGGTGTTCTTCACCGCGCCCAGCCGCTTGCCTACCGCCATCCTCCCTCTCCACTGCACCCGAGTGCCGCTTGCTGGCTACCGCAGTTCCCCACCAGGTAGGTTGTGGCGCCGCTGCCGCCATGTTCCAAGTGTTTTTGGGTGTTTCAGAAATATGTTTTCAAATGTTTCATCTAGATATTGCATATGTTGCAGTGGTTATATATGCACGTTGCAAGTATATGTTTTTAGTGTTTCAGTTGTTTCATACGTATGTTTCAAGTATTTTATCCGGATGTTGCAGTAGTATATCTGGACATTGCATAACATGCATGTTGTAAGCGTATGTTTCAAGTGTTTCATACATATGTTGCAAGTGTTTTTATCTGTATGTTGTAAAAGTAGATATGGATGTTGCATGCATTTGCAATGGCTTTCAACTGTTTTCGGGTGTTTTGCAATTGTTTCAGACGTATGTTGTGCAAGTATTTTAACTGTTTCGGATGTATATTGCAAGTGTTTTATCTTGATGTTGCAAAAGTAGATCTGGTATTGCATATGTTGCAATGGGACCACTTGCTGCAGCCGTCTGCTGCAGTTGCTGGGGCGCCGCTGAGCGGTGTAGAATGTCCCCCGCCTACATGCGCGTAGAAAACGTACGAGGCACGAGCGGTCTCCGCGTGTTGTAGGTCGGGTGGGCAGCGCGTGCGGTCCGGGTGGCGCGGGCTCCGCGTGGGTGCACTGGGGTGCTGGCACCGGCATCCGGACGCAGACGTCCGTCCGGACGTCCGGGTGCTAGCAATCCCCTGTTAATAAAGAAAAACTCCATAGTGCATCTGGTGATCATTGCCCAACGGCTTAGCGTATAAACACAGATTTTGTGAAGACAGCTGTTTATTAGAAACAGAGTGCGAAAAAGCACTCCAAGTTCCCAATATGGAGGGCTGTACACAGGCCGGTCCCAAAAGCTGGTTTTGTGGTGTTTGACAAAAATAAATTACTAGGTGATCTCGTACTATTCGCTAGGTGATCTTACAAGTCAGTTGTTGAATTGACAGTGGCACAATGATATCTTGCCATATTTTTTTTCTCTAACATAACATAGTGTATTTGGAATTCCTGATGCTACCCAGCATTTTACACCCAAAGACAAGCGACTCTGCGCTGTATCAAATCCAACTAACAACAGTCATACAAACTCCAAATCTGACCACATGAATAATTGGCTCTCGTCAAACTACCTCCTAGTCCCGTTTCAGCAGGGCATTAAATTCCGCTTGATTCAGTCCCTTTTTTAAAATAATGGGTAATTTTCACATACATCTATTTTTCTCTTCTCGAATACACAGGAAATAAAAATGCGCATCTTTGTATTGATTCCGATCACCTGTGCCAAGCGGTCCGATGGTCCAGTTAATTCTGAATTACGTTCTCAAAAACATACTACATCTCTTCTTGAAACTAAAGCTGAACAAAAATGAAGCAAAAGTATTGGGGCGTGTCTGTCACCCATTCAACGACAGCCACATCTTCACCTCTAGGAAGAACAGCGTTAGCAAAACGTTCCGAGAGTAGTGTACTAGCGGCTCCATCAGCTGACGTATTTTTACACCAAAACAGGCGGCCATTATTCAAATCAGGGATGACAGACAAGTTTACGCTGCGTGCCTGCGTCAGAAATTAGGCGACTTTTACGTGCCAAGCAAAATTAGGCATGCACCGTCAAGGCAGGGGCAGGGCAGGGTCACCCCACGCGAGCCATATTTTACTCTTGTTGAGTACACCAAAAGGTCGGTCTCTCTCTCTTCTGCATATGGTGGCCACCCTGGTTGGTACTCCGTACGAGCCAGCCAGGCTGCCCAACCTTGCTAGTTATACCAAACACAGGTATTCAGAAACAGAAGGCTCCTAAGATAATGTTGGAAAATACTGTGCTAATTTTTATATATTGCCCGCAATGGATTTTTTTCTCAAAAAAATTCCAACAGATTTTTTTAGTCTAGAAGAAAATAAATCCAATGGACCATACAACACTAGCTAGCTCTTATGTGAAATGCCGGTCCACCTTCAGTATCAATATTCACCAAATGGTTCAACCTGACATGAGTAATCCATTAGAGACTCCTGAAGTAACTAAACTCTTGTATATGAGTTTTTAACGAAACAATAATTTAACTCGAACAGGAGTTCAAATTTCTCCAACGCATCTCAAGAATGACTCTAATTCAAGAATTCGGTGGAACAAAGAAATTCAAGCTCTGCGTGCAATTCAGTGGGTACCGGGCCCATTTTCTGGATGTGAGTTTAGCACAACGCGAGGTAGAAGCCTAGAAGGGGACGGTGACATACCATGGAATGAAGTGGCCAGGGGGTATGAGATAGAGAGAGAGCATATCTGGTGTACATATTCGTGTGTTGACATAAGCATGGAGGCCCTAGTTTCTTTCTTTCTTTCTTTCGCCGGTGATATGCTTGGCTTCTTATGTGGTAGTTCTATTTGTTTTCTCTTTTGAATGGGATAAGAAAGGGAGGGAGGCATCAAATAGAAAGCCGGCCAGATAGTGGTGCCAACTCACCCCATCACCCCATCCAAAAAAATGCACGCCAAATGCTAGGAAAACTACACCGAATTCGCACTTTGCTTTCGTCGCCCTGGCACAGCATTATGTGCAATCACCAGTTGATTAGCTTGGCATAATTAAGCCGTGTCCAAAAGTGTTCACTTCTATTTTACTTCATCTTGTTCATCCTCTAGTTAACTCAAGAATCGCATCAATGGTGAATTCATCCCATGAAGAATAAATTACTTTGGTTGGTGTAACATACTAGTTGTAACTCATAGTAGTTACCTTACATGAGGATGGGCATGTGGCCTAGTGGTGAAGGCTCCAAGAGGGGCCGGGGGGTCGATCCCTGTCCCGGATCTGCCCTCATGTGAAGGGCGCGCCAGGTGGTGCTTTCCAAAAAAAATAGTAGTCACCTTATATGCTTAGGTACCTTTTAGTAATCTGAATTCAACCCCCCTATTGCTCTAGGGTGACACTACTCATTGCCTTCCTTCTCCTATCCACACCTCGTTTCCACTCAAGTGGGCCATCAGAAGTCCGATAATTACAAAGACAACAAAAATGGACTCTTCTCCTCCATCCTTCCGCTCCTTCTGCTCTATGTTTTTTCTCAAATAGGGGTAGACAACACACACAAATAATGGGGTTGTGAGCGCTAGTCTCATGCAGCACAGTACCTACATCGAGGAGGCTAGCTTAGTGTGTTAGGTCGGTTGCTGCGGTGGCGACCATTTATATTTGTAGTGGCTAGGGTAGCATGGTGCTATGGCACATGCGACGAGGATTACGGCAAGCAAGCCTTGCTCGCCAACGTAGTGGCTATTGATGGCCTCCTATCAGGATTGGGGTAGCGGCATGGTGTGGCCACGGTCGTGGATTGGTTTGGCAACAAATGAGGTGGCTACATGGAGGTGCAAATCTGCGTGGTGGACCATGCATGGCTCGT